ATTTAGGTCTTTTTGGACTAGAAAAACAGCTAACAGCCTCGTAACAATATTATAAATTTTTGTGGGCAGGAAAAGGTTAGCCTAGCCTAAACAACGAATGCTAGATGATCTATTTTGTTTATCAAGTTATTCCTAAAATTCAGAATTTGTAATATCAAAAATAAATCATTTTTATTCAGAAATTAGATCCACTTCAGTTAAACATTGCTTTTCATGTAAACAAGGGATGAAAAAAACCTTTCAGACAGCGATGTTATCTTTTTATAAATGTGTTAAATTATTCATAGATGTGCAGGCGCTCTTCTTGTTTGATGTTCTGTATTAGAAAGTAGATCCATAAAATACAGTGCTTTAGTTTGGAAGTGAAAATTTGAAATGACATAATTTTGTGGGAGTTCTTAGGAATATAGATAATTGGGAATTAATTTTTTTTATTTAGAATAGCACTTCTTCAGTATTGCAGCAAAAGGCACTTATCTTGTTATGCCTAAGCACTGATTTCCAGTTTACTATATTTGGAATAGTTATGTGATTATCAGTGCAGTGGTGTATCTGCTGTATGGCTCGTGTTATGGGCGCTGTTTGGATTGGGACGCAAAATGGGTAAAAGTTTTAATGGTGAAATGTTTTATGGGAATATATAAAAGGTGAAACAAGATTGGGAATATGTTAAACTCTTAAGTATTTCAATTCAACAACAGTCGTTAAAAATTGATAGTCAATGATCAACTTAAACTTTGCCACGGGCGCCATTTTTTACCCAGATACACCACTGTATCAGTGCCAGTGGTAGGGTAATAACAAAGTGTTTTGACATTATTAAAAATGCCTGTTAATAGCAAATCATTAGTGGGTAACAGAAAGAAAAAAAAAATGTTCGTTTTATTACTATATTAGGACGGTCAAATTAGTTTGTTTGAGTTATATGTTCAATTGCTTATCAATGAATAGTTGCAAATTGGAATGCAGGAAAGTTGAGATAAACAGTGATTGGAATTTAGATCGGTATAGTTTTTTTTTTTTTTTTTTTCATCACATTGGAGTGACATATTTTACATATATAGGTTGACATATATAAGTTGTCCAATGGGCTTTGTATTTCTTATAATAATAATAAAAAATAAAATTAAGTTGCCTCTGTTCAATCATAAAGTGAGACTCCAATTTCTTAAATTAATAATTTTTGGGATGAAACTAAAGAAATTATATTCAAGATCCAAAGAAAATATATATAAATAATTACGAATCTCTTTATTTGATTCGAAAAATGTCAAAGTTGAAAAAAAAAATGAAAACCTGTTCAGGCAGGCAATACTGAACAAGAAGATTTGGTCGTTTTTTTATTACCGGTATATAGCATTTTTAATTTAAATTTCTTTTTGGTAATACTACAAGCAAATATGAAGTAAAATTCACATTAGTCAATATGTTCAGTTTTGAATCATTCGTATTAGGTTGCAATGCTAAACAGGTGTTATAAAGAGTCCAATTCTAAAACTGACAGCTTTGAATTCTTATATAGAGCCTTGTTTGATTGAAAACAAACTTTGTGTAACTGTTTGTCCACCAGTGCTATTCATGTAAGAGGAAGCAATAAACGTAACGGTAGCGAGTGGGATGACTGTAAGACAGACTGAATCATCATGGTTTAGTGCATTTTTTGTGCAACTTTAATAATAATAAGATCACCGGTAGTCATTGCTGAAGCTGTCGGAATAGATGTTCTGTGTTGTGCATCTGTTTATTAGGAGTTGCCATGGTTTCAGTTCATTTATTGTGTTTCAGCAACCTTAATGATTGATGAGAATGGTTTCGTGATAAAGTGTGCCATTATGGATACTGAAAATTTTGGCAAAACCACATCTTGTTCTTACCACTCCACGCAATTGTAGCACTCCCGAATTCTTACTTGATACAGGCTTAACTAATTTTAAAAAATGTATGTTCGTTTATTGTGTATAATAAGTAGCTCCAATCATCTTTAAGTAATGGAGATCTAAAATTAATTGGTCTATTAGTTATAAACAAAAAGATTTTTTTTCTCAACAACAATAAATTATTACCGAAACAACTATGAGCCTAATTCGTGTGAAATAAAAGTAATAGCCTTCTAGTGACCATTCTCCCATTTTCAAATACTGAAAATTAAGAATTAATCAGGGTTCAATAGATCTAGAAAAAAATGATTCGTGTCAACGACAACAACATGAATTTATGAAAGTTTGTGTATGTAAAACATTCACAACCATATTGTAACTAAAAACACTTCTGCAGGTCATAAATTCAATTTCATTCTTGAATGAGGCCTGCATATCTTCTCTTCACCAGTATTGATATCATTAATTGTCTTATAAAAAGCTATTCATGCTGAGATAATTTCCTGTGAGACAAGCAGAGGCCAATTTGATAATAGAGCAACAGACAAGGGAGTATATGAGGAAATAGCAAGCAGTTGCCAGCTAGTAATAAAATTAGGTAGTTTATTTGTTTAGTATTGAAATGCCAGCTATGCTCATGCTTAATAAGGTGGTTCAGTGTTGTGTTGTATTAACTTACGGAAAAGGCTGTGGTATGAAGGTGTCCCATAAATGTCTGTTTACAATTTTAATACAATTTATAGCATTATATGGGATTGAGTAAGACGGTTTAATGTTTTAACTTAAGGAAAAGGCTGTGGTATGGTTTCCCATAAAAGTATAAGATTATTTTGACCCCATAATCAGCATAGCAGGCAATAAAATGATTGATAAAGACAATAAATAAAAACTGATTATGAAATCAGGAGAGCAAACAAAACCTTGGACAAGGTTTAAAATGTACAGAATATATTTGCTGGTTTATAATTCACCATCGCTGCTGCAAACTGCGATCTCTTGTCCAGTTCTGGTAGGATTTGTGGATGGTTGTCCCAACTTTTCCGGGTGTTCATTCCAGATGCATTGAACATTATACAATAATCCATTGTATCCAAAAATGAAAAACACTGAAATACCAAGCCTATTATTATATTTACTTGACCAATTTGCATGTATTATAAAATTACACACTAATGTGCTGTATACATTTGTTTTCAATCATTTTAATTATAGCTTCGTGTCATATAATGAATGCTATCTATTATTGGTTATGTAAAATAATTATAGCCCACGTTTGCACAGCGTTGCAATTATTTTCCGAATGTTTTGCATGAAAACAAAATGAATATTGAGATTCAGGTCTAAAGGGGTCCAAACCGAATAATACGCTATTTTTAGTATTTTCAAAAAAAAATTTTGAATATAAAATAGGAAATGGAACGAATGAAAATTAAATTGTGTCATATTCGACAAAGAACATATAGAACTCAATATACAAAGTGTCCAAAAAATCTTGCCCGGTTTTATAGTGATATCAATTGGAAATTTTGTTGTTTTTGTTTATTTATAATTCTTATTGTGCAGGCGAAATTTTTGGATACCATATATTTCAATAAGTATAAATTTGGAAATGCAGGAAAGTTTAATTAAATAAACGCTATTGATTGATTTATTTTTTCAGTGGTCGACTCCAATTGCTCAAAATTAATAATTTTTCTGATGAAATTATTTCTAAAATCAAGAATCTACTATATTGAATATTTTAAATGAAATTATAACGGTTCGAATGTTTGTAACAGTAAATTATTTATTAAGATTTTGACATTATATAGTAAAACTGCACTAAATCTGTTGTAGTCATTTATTTTTGTGCATGGCCCTATCATCGATCAACCAACCTCAGTCCACAATAGGTTGGCTACTCCTGTTCTAGTGTACTGAGAGCCATTCACCCTCTCATCTTTCAGTTTAATAAATGCTAAAGTGGAGATATTTAACCATATATCGATACTACATGCTTAATCCCACTATCCCATTCATCAGTTTGAAGCCTGCCAGTTTCATTGAGACTAATCAGATTCTTGTTTTAATATACTTTTATTGATTAATTGATTGCCATTCGTGATTTAGGGAGGCGGATTCGAATGTGACATTGAAAGTTCGTAAGGAAATCTTTGAAATCAGACTTAATAATAATGGCTGTTATTTAGCACTTTGTTATGTTTTGATTGTTTTTATTTTATCTTTCGTTGTATTACTAAATTTAAAATTTTTTGTGACTTTATCAGTTTTCGAATAATCTACAATTTGTAAACTGCAATAGTAATAAAATTAGCAAATACCTGAAACAATAGAAAACTTTTGAAACTCATGCAAAATGAATTGTAAGCAAATGAGTTTTGATTGTACGCAGGTTAGTATGAATCATCGCTTCATGCGTGATGTTTTTCGTGAATTCCCACGAATTGTGATTAATCATTATTATGGTCTTTGATGATAATTGCAAGAATAATGCAAAGCATACAGCTTGCCAATAATCAGAATCAGGGGCGCATTCAGGATTTTCAAAATCAGAAATTTCCATTTCCTTCTGAAACAGTCGTCACGATTATGCGCTGGTTAAAGGAGTTGTTTTTTCAACATAAATTTGTAAATCAAAAGGAATAAAGACAGACGTGAAGGAAAGGTGTTTATGACCTCAATAACTCCTCACGCTGACGAAAACAATCGGTGATTTTAGCAAAATGCAATCGCTTGTGTTATTATCGACTTTTCAAGCCTTTCAGATTTCAAAGGTTAGGCGACCTAGAAACAACCCCTTCTTCCTGGCTGAGCCACTGATCAGAATCTTTTGTGGACCCACTGACATATCTGTAATAATAAAATCCCGATATATATCCCTTAGTGTTTCAGTGGTACTTTTACATCACTACTCTTCGATTTTATTAATTTTTGAGCTCCAGTATTTAAATCGATGTGGTATATTTTGTAAATTTCCAACTGCTCTGTCACCTAGAGCAGGGTGCACAACTTAAATTTCCGATTGCTCTGTCGCCACCAAGAGAAATTTGGGTCCAATTTGAGTAATCTTCAGTGACCTTGAATTTCATGACCTTCAGTGACCTTGACTTTGTTTTTGTTTAGGAGTCAGAAAAATTGAATCAGTATCATCTGAAAGATGATCTCGGCCAGGGATCATATGGGATGGTGCGGTTGGCGTATAATGAAGATGATAAAAACCATTATGTAAGTACAACAAGGGTGCTAGTCTTTGATCAGACCAACATTTTGAACTCTTTGTTTGGGAAGACAAATTTAACCCCTTAGAGACGGAAACTGTCCATTCCGAGAAATTCCGAGTGTTTACAATTTACCCCCTCATAGACTGACTTTTCCTATTATTTGAAAGAGCACTATTCTAAACACTTATTGCGCAAAGGAGTATTTGGCAATCTTCATTTTACAAGCATCTATTGATCTGGCAAGTGCTACTGAGCCATATGGAATTGATTATTATCCGCCTATCTATGTACATATTGTCTATTCAGTATTACTATATGCTTGGAAATAGGACAGGATAGGATTTCCAATATTTATCCCAGGGGAGAGAAAAGGTGATAAAACGGCTTATTACCATGACGAACCACGGTCTCTCGTCTGGTTACCGTTCCATGTCGGGTATGGGATTAGTTAGTTAGTTGTTGGATTTGGTGGTGGAGGAAGCCATAACTGACCAGTGATTACGTGAACCACTCTTTGGCGGCGAGGAGTCTAACAATCCTGGCGCACATAATTGTCCCCAATGGTACCCACGCAGGGAAATCAAAGTTGTGGTGGATGGCGTATTGCTTAGCCTTAGCATGATGCGCCACAACGCCGAGCCTTACAAGTCTACTATTGAATTTTTATTATAATACTATAAAAAAAAATCGGTGCTCCCGAAGTATGCGAACCAAGATGGCGGACATCGGAACGTAACATGGGTAACAGGTTAGGGTTAGGCGATAATTTTTTTCCAATTTTCCTTATTCTAGTCCTATTATCAGTTCGAAGACTAGCCAAGAGCCTCCCGTAGTATTTATAGCTAAAATTATGGCCTAACCCTAACCTAGTACACATATTACATTCCGATGTCCGCCATCTTGGTTCGCATACTTCGGGAGCCCCAAAAAATCAATATCCAACATGTTTGGCTATATATTTCGAATTCGTCTCTTACATGGGAATCTCTAATCATCACAAATAAAATTTACAAAATAGATTTTTTTACTTTTCAGGCAATGAAAATCCTCTCAAAAAAGAAACTTCTTCGCCAAGCTGGTTTCTTGAGTAAGTTATCCATATTGAGCTATATTTTTCACAAACTTTTAGATTTGGAATTTTTGTGATTTGTAAGCAAAGTTATTATTTTTGGGGGGGATGCGAATCTTTTTTGTTCAGCATTGGTAAACAAATATCACACTGTGGATGAGGTGGCGGAAATGAGGTTTGGCCTGAAATTTTATTCTATGATGCCAACGAAGTTGATATTATTCTGTTTTGGCTATCATGCATTATCCATCTTCTGATGAGGTTTTGATTTGTTCAAGTCCATGCCTCCGAAACAAATAACTGGCTAACTAATCCCATACCCGACATGGACTGAACACCTGACTGGCTGGTAACCTGACTAGAGGCTATGGTTTGCCATGTGGTTATGCCATTTTATCGGTTTTCATCTCCTCAGGATAAATATGTAAATCCTATCCTATATTTCCAGTTGAGCGCCTACTAATATTACCATAATGATTCTTTTCTCAGGGAGGCCTCCACCACGTAAAGGAGGCAAGAAGATGTCGACACCACTCGATAAGGTTTATCAAGAGATTGCTTTACTGAAGAAACTTGATCATCCAAATATTATTAAACTAGTTGAGGTGGGTGTGACTGCAGATCGGGCCTACTAAGCGGCCTCACTTTGCCCAAAGCTGTGGGAAGGAAAAATATTTATATTAGACCCCAGCTCAAGATTGAAATTTGAGTGCCACTCTGTGTTATAAAATTCCATGGCACTGGTTTTGGCCACCCCATTGGCTGCGGCTAGCACCATATGATGTATAGCAGATTTGGCACCCAACAGAGGTTATAATCAGGGTAATAAGTCCTGTTAAAAGTGAATATGAGGTTAATACATCATTGTAATTTTGTCCCTGAAAACTGATCAATTTTGCACCGGAAAAGTTGGCAAATTACCAGCTGCTCAAAAGTTTTTGCCACGCAGCCGAATCGGACAGATGCAATTTGTTCTAACACATGTCATATGAAAAGCATCATTGCCAATGACTTTTGTAAAGTGACATGAAACCAAGCTTTAACTCTAAACATAGGCTGTCGGAAAAAAAATTTTGCTGTTTGCAATTCTTCCTGCTGTAAGGAGACCGAAATGTCTAAATTGACCCCGGCCATATTTAAAGATAAACTCATTATGATAATTTTTTCAATTACTTTCCAGGTTCTAGATGACCCTGGACAAGACAAGTTATACATGGTTTTTGAACTCATGAGAAAAGGGTAAGTGGGTTAGGGTGAAATAAAATAGGATTGGACATGACTAAGTCCCGGCTGCTTGCACCAACTAAGTGGAGTCGAGGAAATTCTACTCCAGTATCCAAACTTCAGACAAAGAAATAATTCTGTAGGGCGACACAAAAACAGAATCCGGGTCATTCGGAACATATTCTAGAGCAGTGGTTCCTAAATGGTGTGGCGCGCCCGACAACAGGAACGCAGAAAATTGTTTGAGGCGGCGTGAAGCTAATTAAAGATGAAAATGTTTGTCAGATTCGATCTTACCTGCCTTATTTTGAATATTTACATTTCTTCATTTTGGATATTTACATTCCATCCACATGTTTTCAACGTGCTTTTTAAATAAAACATACTTTCGCCTTACTATCTGTTATTTGTAGCTTATTGTTAGCTGGTTTCCTCTAGGTGTGGGATTCTAAAAAGTGGGAGTGGCTTAAAAAGTTTGAAAACCACTGTTCTAGAGAGAACATAACTTTCATGCAAAACATCCTCCCTCGATTACCGAAACTTTTGGGTACAAATATAGACAAGCAGAAGTTCAAGTGTAATTAATTTCGTTATTTTGCAAATTTGTGTTTCAACAGCTTTTGGCTTGTCATTGGCCGTCCATAACTCTGTTCAGAATTAGGTTTCAATTACTTCTGCATGAGTGACCTTTCCTTGAGTAAACACTGCGAAAACATTTCATTAAACTGTTTTTTTTCTTCCAGTGAAGTGATGGATGTTCCCACAACTGAAACGTTCACTGAGGATAAAGCCAGAAATTATTTCAGAGATGCAACGCTAGGACTTGAGTATTGTGAGTCGGACATTTTTATTTTAGGATCTCTAAATCATGTTTGAGGGTCGAGACCACTTTTTTGAAATTTCAATTTTCCTGTTCCAAACATAGCAATTTCGTAGCATGAAACGCTTCTTAAAACTTCAAAACTTTTAAAACCCCACCAGACCTGCTGGTCGTTATGGTTTAACTTGGCAATTAGAAATCTCAGAAGCCCCTTCCTCTCTTTGAGAAGTCCTGGCTTCACCTCGAAACCCTAACACTTTTTTCTTTCTCTAGTGCACTTCCAGAAGATCATCCACAGAGATATAAAACCTTCAAATCTACTGATCGACGATCAAGGTCATGTCAAGGTGATTTAACAACCTAGCAGATTAGTTTAGTTATGAATCATAATGGTAAATAATTTCCTTACTAATTCCAAAGAAGTGGAAATCTAATGAGATGGCTTAGTCATATGAAGCGCTATTCTCTCCAAGTCAAGGATGAAAATATCTAAGCAGTTATTGGTGTCATATATATGTACTTTTGAATTTGTTCCAAGCAAGATAACAAACACTCACCCAGAAATAAAGTAGACTCATTTTTTGTGCAAAGTTACAAACAATCAATGAATAGCCAAAGGCTACTGAAACCATATAGAATGGCAGTGAATTATGTGTTAGTGAATGACTATCACACAAACGGAAGTGCTCTCTCTCACAAATATCTGCAAGAATAAAACCTCTGTCTTTTGTATAGGTAGGCAGTGTTCCATAACGATCAAATACCCAACTCTTCTGACAATGCGCCTTCTCAAAAACCATAGTCAAACTCAATTCCATATATTCAATTTAGCATGCATGGCTCAGCATAGGACAAAGATATTCAAACCTCAATTGCTAAATATTTGATTTTGATCAAACTGTTTCCACAGATTGCTGATTTAGGGGTCAGTCAAGAGTTCATAGGTCATGACCTGGAAGTAACAACTTCTGCAGGAACACCAGCATTCCATGCACCGGAGGCAGTATCGGGCAGTGATGAAAAGTATCAGGTATGTAGCTAATTATGTTCTTCTTAGCATGAACTGGATGGAAGATATTTTTATATTTATTCCTGAGTATCTCATCTGTTACCAGTCCATGTCGGGAATGGATAGCAAATCGGCTGTTGGTGTATGTAAGCATTAGGAATACGCTATCCATCACACCTCTGATTACTCTGCAGGTCATCATGTGCAAGTAGATTGCTGGACTTCTCCCTGCCCTAGGATTCACTTTACCGCTGGTTGGTTATGGCTTCCTCCATCATCAAGTTGATGCAATAACTGGCTAACGAATCCCATACTTAATATGGACTGGTAACTAGATGAGACGTTAGGGTTTGCAGTATGATTGAGTTAGTCTCTCATCCCTGGGATAAAAACAATAAAACTCTATCCTTATTCAAAATTTTTTTTGTTTCCAGGGAAAACCGCTTGATATCTGGGCGCTTGGTATCACACTGTATTGCTTCATGTACGGGAATTGCCCGTTTCAGAGCGAACATATATTAGAGTTACACAGTAAGATACAAGAGGATCCTCTGGTCTTTCCTGATAGGTGGGTTTGAATATTTATTGCTTTCTAATTGGTTGGTTTGAATCTTTATCGTATTTTGATTGGTTGAATGTAACTGGGCGGTGAAAGGTATACATAGTAGTCGCACCATGGATAGGCAATGCCAAACAAGGAGGATTTCAGTCTTAGTACTGCTGGGCATACCAGGTTGCCTTGTCGTATTCATTGTTTCTTTCCAAATCAGATTGGTGCCAATGCTCGATAACCAAATTTGGTTTTTCGAGGCTCCTTTCACCTTGGAAAGGCTTATCCATAATTTATTGTGAATTGTTTATCTGGTGCTTTCAGTATGGTGAAAATATAAACTACTGATTACTGATAGTACCCTGTTAAATATTTCACCTGATATTACAAATATCTGTGAATGCTATTATACGGTCTTGTTTAGAGAGAAAAGCTTGAAGAATGAAGATTGTGTAAAATAGGTTATTGGGCAATCTGTTATCCACTGTTTCTATTTTTTGTCTGCATGCAAAGTATTATCTATTTCTTTCTGAGTAAAGTGACATCATGAAGGCCTGGTGGGCTGGGTTGTACTATTCATGAGTAGAACTGATTTTTTTTGTATTTCCAGCCCCAAAGTCAGTTCCTCCTGCAAAGATCTCATCACAAAGATGTTGATCAAGGATCCATTGAAGCGTATCAAGATGTCAGAGGTCAAAGTTCATCCATGGGTCACATGTAATGGTTCATCGCCTTTGACCTCTGAAAAGGACAACTGCCACCTAGTGACAGTAACAGAAGAAGACGTCAAAACCTGTGTGAAACAGATTCCCAGGCTCGATACTTTAGTGAGTTGGTTTTATAATATTAGGATAAGATTTACATATTTGTCCTAGGGGAGAGGAAAGGCAATAATACAGCTTAATGATATGGAAAATCACGGTGTTTTGTACAGTCTAATAGTGATATAATAGGCATAATAACAAATGCATTACAATCAAAGTACTGAACAAATCACGTTTAAAGAATTTCAAATTAATGTAGTCATCGCAAATGATGTTTAGCGAAGGTCTTTGTTTGAAAAACTAGGAACTATACTGGTCAATGTATAAATAATGTTTGAAATTATTTCTTTTGCAGATTCTTGTTAAAGCAATGTTGAAGAGGAAAAGCTTCAGGAATCCTGCTTTCAATAATTCGTCAGAACTTACAAAAACTTAAAATTTAGAGAAAGATTTTTGTGTAATTCCACAACAATTTATAGCAATTCAAGTTGTTACTGTCTAGGAAAATCTACATCCTGGTATGGAGAGGGTCAACTAATATGATGTTTCCGGCTGTTGATGTACATTACCATGGATTTAAAAAAACATTGAACAACTATTCTGAACAGAGCTGTGGATTTTGAAAAATTCACAACTGTCGTTTGAATTCAAGTCATAAAAGTTTTGATCTCGGCCCCCTACTTTGAGTTGAAAACAATCTGATTTGAGAAAATCTAATTTCGAAAATAAAGACTTTGGTTTCTTTGTCTGTCCATTTAGAACACTCTTTCTGTAGAAAATTCTGTCTCTGAATTCTGAAAACGGGTATGACTCCAGTAAAAGCTAACCAAACTCACAATTCACAGCCCTGATTACAGTAGACCTTAATATGCAGTATTAAATGCTTTAACTATTCTTGTTTTGACGAGTGACGATTCTTGTTGATGAGTGTTTTTCGATAAAGTGATGTAATGTCTATTCCTCATTCTGCTATCTTATACACACGAATCTATATGATGTGACCTATGTCACAAAAATGAACAGAGAAAAACGTGTCCCTTCAATTAACGAAAGCAGCAAAATCTTGGTGAATTATCAGGTCCTATTAGACTAGGCAAAAATTTGGAATCTATCAGTTCATTAGTTTCATAGGAAAGCGATTTTTATTTCAATAACAACAACAATAATAACAACACTTTGAACAAAATGATCCATATATATCAGTGGTTCCCAAACTACGGCCCATGTAACAATTTGGCCTGCCAAACTTAAGTGAAATAGTTTACCCTTGTATGTTTTTATTGTTAAGCTGTTCTAGATATGCCAATTGTTACATCATTATCAGTTTAAGCATGTGTACATTCGTAACAATTCAATTATACCAGTATCTTTTATACATGGCCATTCCATGGCCTGCGAATATCTTACTCTCTTAATTTTTTGGGAACCACTGGTTTATACACATGTGCCCAAGGATCAAGAGCAACCCAGCATTAAACTTCAATCTTATAATTGAGCAAATGTTTTATTGGCAACCAGAGCAATTTATTTTACACTGTTGATTAGATTTCTCCATTTACAGATTGGGGGTGGGGGAGAGGCGTGGTCAAATTAAAAAAGCGAGGCGGACAGTTTCAAATATTAGTTTAATTGATATTTCACCCCCCTTTTCAAATGAAATCTATTCCATCCCAAATGCTGACCTTTTTTTTTCTGAGGAGTTTTGCAAAGCAACAAATTGCTCACTCAGAAGTAAAGGAGACTTATTTATTGCGTTATGGACGACTGCTGAAATGCTAGAGCCACTGAACCTGTTCAGAATTATGGTCGTGCATCATGTGCTAGGTTCTTGTGAATGAAACATAAATTATGATGAGCTGTTTCATATTATTATTTGTGGGAATTTACTCCTAATTTTTTTTTTAATCTCTTCCCTATTATTGGGAATCAAGGAAGCTTTTTTGTCTAAACGAAAGCGAATTATTCTATTTTTGTTGACTATTACGAAACTCGAAAAAAATATCTTAAAAATATAGCATAAGCTCTGTATAAGTATAAGCTCTGATACATACACTTCTGGAGCGCCATTTGGACTATTCCAAATATGTTTGAAATAGTTTCGTATATAGAGAAATCAACCTATTTTAGAATGGCTCATGTTCTGTAGGAGTCGATGCATATGCAATGAGTTTGAATTTTCAGTGGTGGGGATTCAATAAATGAAAAAGCTCCTCAATTCCTTTTAGTCCAACATTTTTTTTTTATATTTCACATCTAATTTTTTGCATTCCATATTTCAAATGCAGTCTTCTATGTTTTACTCTGTCAATTTATATTTTGTTCTTGTTCATCTGAATATTTCTGTAATTTTTTTTTCACTATGTTTGGTCAGAGCAAGGCTTTGAACAAGTTGGCAAGTTGGCACACTGGGAAAGTGGATTTCGAGTTTCCATATTACAGTCAAGCAGAGTAAACCCAGACTTGTACAGCTCAGTCGAATGTTACTGATAGACAAAAATGACCTGTATTCGACATCCTGGAGAGACTCAATTCATATATTGAAACTGGGCGAGTGGAAAACCACAAAACAACTCTAGTTCTCGTATGGAAGCCCAAACAGCCATTTATAAATAACAGAGGCTTGGGAGTAAACTCGAAACCAGTGGTTCCCAACCTTTTATGACTCATGGCCCCATTCTTATGGCCTTTAGACCGCAACCAACGCTAACCCTTGCAGAAGGAGACAGACATCCTGTCACAACAAACAATTATGGTTTTCTCCACAATCAAGTCCATGCATCTGACATTTGCTTACTAATGCCAAAACCGGCATGGACTATTAACCAGACAAGAATTCATGGTTGCTGCATGATTCTTGTCTGGTTAATAGTCCATGCCGGTTTTGGCATCAGTAAGCAAATGTCAGATGCATGGACTTGATTGTGGAGAAAACCATCTGCTGCATGATTAAGCCATCTTGTGAACTTTCCTCACAGAGAGATGCATATAATAATTTTCTAGTAAATATGGATCGACTTACCTAATTATCTATCCACAGCATATCGGGAGGTATTACCAATTTTTTCTGTATACACTTTAGTTTGTCTTTGCTGTTACTGCTCTTTTCGTGTAATTCTATGCTGTGAATATCATTGTTATAAAATGTCTGTTTTAGTATGAACATAATACATTAATTGATGATGCAAAGTGTGTATAGAGTTTTCAAAAACAAGTAAATAGTATTTAAAGTGCGAACGTTAGACTAACCCAAGTCATTTGGGACCTATTCTTTAGAGAACTTGACTTTTGTGAGAATTGTTCTAGATTACTCGAATATATTCTTGAGAAAACATAACTTTTATGAAGAACGTTTTAGATTACTGAAACTTTTGGGTACAATCATGCACACACAAGTGTTGAATAAATTGATTTAGGCGATATCATAATGCCATTCTGCTATGATACCTTCTCACATTAAGTTTGCCAGTAATGATGCAGTGAGATTGAGTTCATCCTAATGGAGAGAAAAGTTGGCAAAAAATATGACGAGAATTCAAGTCAGGTGTACGGATGGATAGTTAACCAGATATTGAAGCCATAATTGGTCAGCGTTTAGGTAAATCAACCTGATCTACCAAAAACTCCAGTAATCCAATAATTGCCCTCTACTCAGTTCAGATTTGTAACCCAACGCACCGTGCAAGTGTTGCGTACACGCCTGCCCTCATCTTTTATTACACGGTGAAGACTCGTAGGTTTGAATCCAGTGAGGAATAATTATTTGCAATAGTATTACGGCAATGTTCATTCATACTAAAACTAAACAAGCCACTCTATCAGGAATGCAGTATCCTAATGCTTAGCACAGAGCACCCAACTGATCAACAAAATTGACTAAATGGCACCCGCAGAAATGAATATTACAGTCTATTTCTCCAAATCCTCAAAAAGAACAGCCTACTCATCCGAATACAACTAAATGTATTATGATTCGGAAATCAAATCGAACACAATACCGCTCGCCAAACAGATCGTGAGGTACAAAAAAGGCTGAAATTAATTTTAGTGTCACTTGGGTATATACAAATGCAGTTCCGATAGATTTCTGGATAATAAGAAACAAACAAATGATCTACTAAAATGAATAAATTACAAATACATGGACCCTATGTGATAACCAGCAATAACTGTGGGTACTAACGGATAAGAAAGCTGACACTTAGTTCCTAACCATAATTCAAATAAAAGTTGAATGGTCATGCGTCCAAATAGGATTTACATATTTATCCCGGGGAGAGGGAAGCCGATAAGCCAGCTTAATTATATGGCGAACCACAGTCTATCGTTCGGTAACATTCCATGTCGCGTATGGGATTAGTTATTTGTTTTCAGAAGCATTGACTTGATGATGGAGGAAGCCGTAACCGCCCAATGAGAGTGACAATACTGCGATGGAGCGGCGTCAGAACTTGTTGCATTGAAAAAATTCCAAACCACCACCCTGGCTACACCGTTGGCCATTAGGGTTTTACAAACATGAAATATTGCAAAAATTATTAAGGTGAAAGAAGACTTCAGTTTGGCTCTAACTCTACCAAAATGCCACAAATTCTGACTCAGCCAACATGTGATTACCTCGGTTCTGTTTGGTGCATACGCAGCTGCCTATTTTTTTTAAATATAATGAAAGAAAAAATGAAATTACTAACATTTTGATATTTTAATGACACTTTTAGTAGGCCTGCTCAATAACTAAGATTAAGTTACTCAATTATTTAGTGTGATGGGTGCGATTGCATTTTGCTGCATATAAACTCCAGTCGCTGCTCAATGTTTGTTACTGAAGGCCTCAATGATGAATCACAATGTCTGGCCACCTTGATCCCTATCCGGCATTGTTACTCACCCTTATGATCCAATTTAACACTAGGCAGAGCCAATCATCATGGAAAAAAACTCACAGCGCACCTACGTGAAAAAAATTGCTGTTTTTGCATAAACATAATGCGTACATTTTTTTGCGCGAAAACATGATGTACTTTCTCACGAGTCAATATTCATTGTGATTTTTAGGTCAAAATTAATTAAGAATCTCAAATATACACAATTAAAATATTCATTAACCCTTTCCATGCGATTTTTATTTTTTATTAAATAATCGTATTTGCTACGCCGACTTTATGCATTTGTACCCCACAACTAATCGATCGACTAACGAAAAGTAATGATCCTCTGCTGCCACATGACGGCTTGTTGGAAAGCTTATTTAAAGAGCTTGCAATTGGCGATTAAAAAATTTTTTTTTTTTAAAAGGGGTGGTCTGAGTCACAAACCGGATAGAAAAAAGGCATTTTTTTTTCTTGGGTGTTGAAACTTCAACCGTGATAAAAAATAGAAATATTTGCTAAATCCTTTACTGTTACCGCTTCTTGGTTGGCAAACAATGCATAATATTGCTGTAGCAATTTCGTTATCTAACTCAAAATACTTTTGGTAGATGGAAGGGATAATTTGTCTTCTATCACTACCCAAAAAACACCGAAATTTGCATAAATTTCAAAAAACACTCCATCGTTCCTCCGCAAATAAAACTCCCATGGTAAACGAAAGCGAGATTTATCGTCGCTTATGTTAATCTCGAAGAAGACTTTTTATCAATAAACTAAAACCCGGAAAAACTAGACCAACAGTTTGCGACCGATTGCTAAATAAAACAGTGGAGTACATCAACGTACCCGCCGCAATCTAGCGAGTTTTGTCGTGGGTACGTTATACGTGCCCACCGCACGGAAAGGGTTAACAACACAAAGTAAATTATAACACAGAGAAACAATGGTTCGACAAAGTTGTGCTGAAAGTCAAATAAATTTGTCGACATGTAGATAACCAAAACAATAATGTATGGGCATTTTATAGTCGTACTGCTCAATATAGCCGCTACAACAGTAAGTTACCATGTTTTTACTTTTGGGACTGATGCATTCAGTAGATAGGATTCTCATATCTAACCTGTGGGGAGAGAAAGATGATATGACTGCCTAATTAATCATATGAACCACCGCATCTCACCCAGCTACCAGTAAGAGGCATTCAGAAATTGTCCAGCACATAATTATTTCTACAGCAGTGGTTTTTACCCATTTTGTCGGTGTAACATTCTTACGACAAGTTTCAAGGTTGTCAGCTTTGGGGCCCTAAAAATATTTTTGCATTGATCACGGGCCACAATAGTACCAAGACACAAAACAAACACTTTTAACAAACACAAATCAGACGTGAAATTGAGCCTACGTTGAACATAAATTAATATAGAGAGACGTTGTAATCATGAAGACTGTTTCAAAACTCATTGCATGGAAATTTCCAATTTGAAATTTTTTTTAAAACATAATGGACACAATATCCATAATAATGGCTGACAGTTCACAAAGACTACAAATGAGGACTATACATGCAGATGATATATACAATATACAATGTAATAAGTCAGTTTTATATGAGAAAGTTTAAATGTGGCCTTTATAAAAATATTTTCTTCATATATTACAATCATGAGCTCAAGATTTTCACTGGTATGTATTCGATTGTGGCTTTTCAAAGTTCTTCGCCATGCAAAATCTTTCCCACATATTTTACAAGAATAGGGTTTTTCACCAGTATGCATTTGAATGTGCCTTTCAAATTTCCTGTATTTGAGAAACCTTTCCCACATATTTCACAAGAATAAGATTTTTCTCCAGGATGGATTCGCATGTGTATTTTCACAAGAATGAGTTCGCATGTGCCCTTTTAAATTTTATTCACAAGCAGACGGGTTTTCTCCACTATGAATTCGAATATGTATTTTCAAATTAACTGTCCTGGCAACATTTTACATGTGGTTTTTCACCAGTATGGGTTTGCATGTGTATTTTCAAATTACTTTTCTGGGCAAAATCTTTCCCACATATTTTGCAAGCATGAGGTTTTCTCCAGTATGTGTTCGCATGTGTATTTTCAAATAACTTTTCTGGGCAAAATCTTTCCCACATATTTCACAGGCATGAGGTTTTTCTCCAGTATGTGTTCGTATGTGCATTTGCAAGTGACCAAATGTTGTAAAATCTTTCCCACATATTTCGCAAGCATGAGGTTTTTCTCCAGTATGTGTTCGCATGTGTATTTTCAAATAACTTATCTGGGCAAAATCTTTCCCACATATTTCACAAGCATAAGGTTTTTCTCCAGTATGGATTCGCATATGTCTTTTCAAATTACCTGTCCTGGCAAAATCTTTCCCACATATTTCACAAGCATAAGGTTTTTCTCCAGTATGGATTCGCATGTGCATTTTCAAATGAAAAAGTGTTGTAAAATCTTTCCCACATATTTCACAAGCATGGGGTTTTTCTCCAGTATGGATTTGCATATGCATTTTCAAATCACCTGTCCTGGCAAAATTTTTCCCACATATTTCACAAGCATAAGGTTTTTCTCCAGTATGGATTCGCATATGCTTTTTCACACTACCTGTCCTGGCAAAATCTTTCCCACATATTTCACAAGCATAAGGTTTTTCTCCAGTATGGATTCGCATATGCTTTTTCAAATGACCAAGTGTTGTGAAATCTTTCCCACATACTTCACAAGCATGAGGTTTTTCTCCAGTATGCGTTCGCATGTGTGTTTTCAAATAACCTTTCAGGGCAAAATATTTCCCACATATTTCACAAGCATAAGGTTTTTCTCCAGTATGGATTCGCATATGCTTTTTCACACTACCTGTCCTGGCAAAACCTTTCCCACATATTTCACAAGCATAAGGTTTTTCTCCAGTATGGATTCGCATATGCTTTTTCAAATCATCTGTCCTGGCAAAAGAGTTCCCACATATTTCACAAGCATAAAGTTTTTCTCCAGTATGGATTCGCATATGCTTTTTCCAATCATCTGTCCTGACAAATTCTTTTCCACATATTTCACAAGCATGAGATTCATCCATATGAAATTTCTTATCAGTTGTTCTCAGTATTATTCAAAGATTAGTTCTATTGTAATTCCTTTTCTAATAAAGACAAAATCAAAACATTACTGGTCTAAACAAAAGTATGAAAGAAAAATAATATTACATTAGAAATTCTACCTCAGGATGGTCCAAACCCAAACCGCAGCGTCATTTTTTGTTGCCGTCATTGCCTTTGCTGAAGGGTATTCAAAAAACCGCATTTGGTGTTGTTTCGTCGTAAAAAAATAATCAGAAAATCTTTCCGAATCCCTTAGTGTCACGGCTAGCCGAAGCAACTAGCAAAGTTGAATAGTGTGCTTGGGTAGTCCAAATTGTTCACTGACTATCTATCTTTTTGGTTGGGAATATATTTCAACAGTTTACTAACTACATAATAACTCAAGACAATGATGCCAAATAAACATCACAGGGTAACTAATGCTATAAAAAATCAGACAGTTTTGCACCATATGAGAAAATTGCATGTGTTATCATACAGAAGCTTTTCCATATATTCGCATGTGATTTTTCAAATAACTTGTACAGGCAAAATTCTGAGCAAATCAGAAAAAAAAAATTATAATAAGAAAACGTTTTACACGTTTCTTACAAAATCTTTCCCACATACTTTACAAGCATGAGGTTTTTTTCAGTATGTGTTCGCATGTGGCATTCCGAATTACTTGACCATGCAAAATCTTTTCGACATATTTCACAAGCATAAGGTACCGTGTGAGTATAGATTAGATTATGTCGTTTTAGAATATCCAATCTCGTAAAATCTTTTCCATATATTTCACAAGCATAAGACTTTTTTCCTACAGTATGTGCCCGAATATGCTTGGTTGCTATTTCTCTTGCCACATATTTTACAAGCATGTGAATTTTCATATCATTTTTGCTGGAACATGATGTACTTTCTCATGAATCAATATCATTGACATCACTCATTCTGATTTTTAGGTCAAAATTAATTAACAAACTCAAATATACACAATTAAAATATTCATTAACAAAACAAAGTAAATTATAACACAAAGAAACAAATATGATTTGTCGACATGTAGATGACCAAAACAATAATGTATGGGCATTTTATAGTCGTACTGCTTAATATAGCCGCTACAACAGTGATTGCCTAATTAACCATATGAACCACCGCATCTCACCCAGCTGCACATACCGGTAATTATTTCTACAGCAGTAGTTTTGGTGTAACATTCTGGAGCGGGGTGTTCCAAGGTTGTCAGCTTTGGGGGCCCTAAAAATATTTTTGCACTGTTCACGGGACACAATAGTACTAAGTTTACACAAAACAAAGACTTTTAACAAACACTAATCTGCCGTAAGATTGCGCCTACGTTGAACACAAATTGATAGAGAGACATTTTAATCATGAAGACTGTTTCAGATCTCTTCGCATGGAAATTTCCGATTTGAAATTTTTTTTAAAACATAATGGAAGAAAAAATGAAATGGATACAATATCCATAATAATGGCTGACAGTTCACAAAGACTACAAATGAGGACTATACATGCAGATGATATATACCAGTGCTCCGCAACCTTTTTTAACTTGCGGCACACTTATAAAACTTGCCAAATTTGACAACACACCACAACAAACGAAAATCACAAGGTGTAAATTTGTTTTAATGAGCACAATCGTTCTATATTAGAATCATTACGTGACGCGCAATCAATTTTGCAACACGATAACTAGCTTCTAATGCTTTTTCGGAGACTGTAAAAGACGACTTCACAGAGCACTCTTGCTTCTTATTTTGATTTAACAACCGCTGGAAATAATTTATATTCTTGCGTGCATGAACGGCATGTTTCATATTTGAGAGGGGCATAAGATTACTCGGAAACATTGCTTCATTTAAAAGTTGCTCCCCCCAAATAACCCAGACTGGTTTTGGAGCATCTTCGTTACCACAGCAAGAAAATCCATATTTGACATAAAGTATTTCCTTTCCAATGTTGCTCGTGGTAAGTACAATATGTTGCTCCGTATCAGCTGTTTTTTTTCAAATTTATCCATTTTGCTAAACTTTAACGTTCCTTGACTTTTTTAATCAAAGACCACTGGGCACTGATTCTGCAAACTCACACTTTATTTATATTCGATTACTACACGTGCTATGTTTTAGCCTCGACAATAGGCTTTACAATATACATGCTTTTCATATAGGCCTACTACTTGTTACGTCACAAATGGGAATTTGAGTTGGTGTCGCTCAAGCTAACGTAAAAGCAGGTTAACTTTACGTTAGTAGAGTAGAGTAGTAGACTAACGCAAAATTAACAAAAGATTAGAAATAATTTGTTAAAAGAAGAGTAAAGTTGCAATTCCTGTGCGGCAAACCTGGCATCGTCTCGGTTGCGGAGCACTGATATATACAACACATACACAACAATATACAATGTAATAAGTCAGTTTTATATGAGAAAGTTTAAATGTGGCCTTTATAAAAATATTTTCTTCATATATTACAATCATGAGGTCCATTTCGAAAGCTCAAGATTTTCACTGGTATGTATTCGAACGTGGCTTTTCAAAGTTCTTCGCCATGCAGAATCTTTCCCACATATTTTACAAGAATAGGGTTTTTTCTAGTTTGGATTCGCATGTGACTTCTATAAGCTTTTTCACGCATTTCACAAGAATGAGGTTTTTTACCAGTATGCATTCGCATGTGCCTTTCGAATTTCATGTATTTGAGAAACCTTTCGCACATATTTCACAAGCATAAGGTTTTCTCCAGTATGGATTCGCATGTGTATTTTCAAATTTCCCACATATTTCACAAGAATGAGGATTTTCTCCAATATGCATTCGCATGTGTCTTTTTAAATTTTATTCACAAGCAGACGGGTTTTCTCCACTATGAATTCGAATATGTATTTTCAAATTAACTGTCCTGGCAACATTTTACATGTGGTTTTTCACCAGTATGGGTTTGCATGTGTATTTTCAAATGACTTTTCTGGGCAAAATCTTTCCCACATATTTCACAGGCATGAGGTTTTTCTCCAGTATGTGTTCGCATGTGTATTTTCAAATAACTTTTCTGGGCAAAATCTTTCCCACATATTTCACAGGCATGAGGTTTTTCTCCAGTATGTGTTCGCATGTGTATTTTCAAATTACTTTTCTGGGCAAAATCTTTCCCACATATTCCACAGGCATGAGGTTTTTCTCCAGTATGTGTTCGCATGTGCATTTTCAAGTGACCAAATGCTGTAAAATCTTTCCCACATATTTTACAAGGATAAGGTTTTTCCCCAGTATGGATTCGCATATGTTTTTTCATATCACCTGACCTGGCAAAATCTTTCCCACATATTTCACAGCATAAGGTTTTTCTCCAGTATGGATTCGCATATGTTTTTTCATATCACTTGACCTGGCAAAATCTTTCCCACATATTTCACAAGGATAAGGTTTTTCTCCAGTATGGATTCGCATGTGCATTTTCAAATGAAAAAGTGTTGTAAAATCATTTCCACATATTTCACAAGCATAAGGTTTTTCTCCAGTATGGGTTTGTATATGCTTTTTCAAATCACCTGTCCTGGCAAAATTTTTCCCACATATTTCACAAGCATAAGGTTTTTCTCCTGTATGCGTTCGCATGTGTATTTTCAAATTATTTTTTTGGGCACAGACTATCCCACATATTTCACAAGCATGAGGTTTTTCTCCAGTATGCGTTCGCATGTGTATTTTCAAATGCCAAAGTGTTGTAAAATTTTTCCCACATATTTCACAAGCATAAGGTTTTTCTCCTGTATGCGTTCGCATGTGTATTTTCAAATTATTTTTTTGGGCACAGACTATCCCACATATTTCACAAGCATGAGGTTTTTCTCCAGTATGTGTTCGCATGTGTATTTTCAAATTACTTTTCTGGGCAAAATCTTTCCCACATATTTCACAGGCATGAGGTTTTTCTCCAGTATGTGTTCGCATGTGCATTTTCAAGTGACCAAATGCTGTAAAATCTTTCCCACATATTTTACAAGGATAAGGTTTTTCCCCAGTATGGATTCGCATATGTTTTTTCATATCACCTGACCTGGCAAAATCTTTCCCACATATTTCACAAGCATAAGGTTTTTCTCCAGTATGGATTCGCATATGTTTTTTCATATCACTTGACCTGGCAAAATCTTTCCCACATATTTCACAAGGATAAGGTTTTTCTCCAGTATGGATTCGCATGTGCATTTTCAAATGAAAAAGTGTTGTAAAATCATTTCCACATATTTCACAAGCATAAGGTTTTTCTCCAGTATGGATTTGCATATGCTTTTTCAAATCACCTGTCCTGGCAAAATTTTTCCCACATATTTCACAAGCATAAGGTTTTTCTCCTGTATGCGTTCGCATGTGTATTTTCAAATTATTTTTTTGGGCACAGACTATCCCACATATTTCACAAGCATGAGGTTTTTCTCCAGTATGCGTTCGCATGTGTATTTTCAAATGACAAAGTGCTGTAAAATCTTTCCCACATATTTCACAAGCATGAGGTTTTTCTTTTGCATGGGTTCGCTTGTGTATTTTTAAATTACTTTTCCAGGCAAAACCTTTCCCACATATATCACAAGCATAAGGTTTTTCTCCAGTAAAGATTCCCATATGTTTTTTCAAATCATCCTTCCTGGCAAAATCTTTCCCACATATTTCACAAGCATGAGGTTTTTCTCCTGTATGCGTTCGCTTGTGTATTTTCAAATTAATTTTCCGGGCAAAACTTTTCCCACATATTTCACAAGCATAAGGTTTTTCTCCAGTATGGATTCCCATATGTTTTTTCAAATCACTTGTCCTGGCAAAATCTTCTCCACATATTTCACAAGCATAAGGTTTTTCTCCGGTATGGATTCGCATGTGCATTTTCAATTGACAAAGTGTTGTAAAATCTCTCCCACATATTTCACAAGTAAGAAGTATTTCTCCAGTATGCGTTCGCATGTGTATTTTCAAACTACTTTTCAGGGCAAAACCTTTTCCACATATTTCACGAGCATAAAGTTTTTCTCTAGTATGGATTCGCATATGCTTTTTCAAATCATCTGTCCTGGCAAATTCTTTCCCACATATTTCACAATCATAAGATTCATCCATATGAAATTTCTTATCAGTTGTTCCCAGTATTATTCAAAGATTAGTTGTGTTGTTATTCCTTGTCTAATAAAGACAAAATCAAAACCTTACTGGTCTAAACAAAAGTATGAAAGAAAAATAATATTACATTAGAAATTCTACCTCAGGATGGTCCAAACCCAGGACATGCCGCAGCGTCATTTGGTGTTGTTTCGTCATAAAAATAATCAGAAAATCTTTCCGATATCTTGTTACATCCCTAATGTCACTAAATCGACTAGTATCACGGCTAGCCAAAGCAAAGTTGAATAGTGTGCTTGGGAAGTCCAAATTGTTCACTGACTATCTATCTTTTTGGTTGGGAATATATGTAAACATAATAACTAAATTAATTAATGTTATGGCATGAGAATATAATTCCGTCCGGTAATGTTTTGAAACCAGCTTATACAGTATTACAAAAAATGCGTCTGATATGTCAGAAAAATTAATAATTACTCTCCTGCACCTTACATTTGGTAAAATTTGAGAATCAATCAATCTGCAGTTATGGAAAATATAATCTAAAACTGCATTTTGCTATCATGGGAGCAATGAGCATTTCCAAATTTTAATGGATTTCGCTTTTAGAGTCTCTGTTGTGCATTGCCCTTTTTACCTATTTCTGACGCGTTTGTGGCCCGTATAGGCAACAACCTTGGACCACCCTGCCCTACCTGCAAAATTAATTCGTTCCGGACAAAGTAGAAAATGAAAGGGGGGATATATTTTACCTGTAAATGCCCTTATTCGTTCCAAGCTCCCACAAAACTAGGACATAATATTTGTATAAATTATAAGAATGATTAAAACCTGTAACAAATACACGCCAAAACTAACTTACTGCATATTAAATTGAAAATGTACAAAGGGAAAGAAGAAAAATCAGAAAATAATGAATAAAAACTATGAACCTTTTTTTTTCCTTCAGCGCTTGCTGACTAAGCGAAGACAGACCGTGGTTAGTGGTCGGAGGAATTGAGAGAATGCAATGAAAACTGTGGGAAACAAACTGGCCAATGTGATAACAACTAGTTGCTCGGTGGTCTTCAGAGCAGCTACCACAGACTATTAATTTTGGTCATGGAATCAATCATTAATTCAGGAAAGCGCAAATGTTATTACGCGGCCTCATTATCAACTGAGTAAACCCAATTCCCAAATTTCCATCAGTCGATGGTGTAGAATCATTTTTCGAGGGCACTGATTGAAATATTTCATGTCGGCCATAATTAAAACCCTTTAAAATTAAAATATATGATAATATTCGTAACATATTTTCACTCAAAAACATCCTTGACGCTTTATAAGAACATCAAGTTGGCCCTGATTGAAACCCTCTCATGTTGGCTTTAATTTATTGACACGCCGCACAAGTCTGCTTTTGGTTAGGGTGTGTGCCATATTCTGTATTCTTATAAACACAAAAAACGATATTTGAAAGTCCTCATATTTGAATTGGACATCCCTGCTTCAAGCTTTGCATTAAATTAACCTAAAATGAACAAATATCACTACACACATTTTTTATTTACGGCCTTTCGTTACGTTTGTCAAAGCAATATTTCAACCAAAAGAATTGGATATTTTATATCTAGAATTGTTCGTAGGTAGAGTTTCTACTGTAATAGTCATTGAATAGAATGCTAAGGAAGGTTGCTGGGATGAATGTAAACAATGGTTGCTAGCAGCTGAGTGTTTACATTGACTTATCAGTGGTGCACAGTATAGGCAAAATGGAAGGACAGGAAATCTAGATCAACTCTCATGACCCTTCCAAAGACCAACATATGTGAGTTCTTTTATAAAAATATTCAGTTTTGGGATAAAAAATTATCAGTTGTTGTATGATCCACATTCAATAGTAAGAACTAATAAGCAACTTTCATGGACTTACATCAAATTAATGCAGTCATTCTGGTCGATCAATAGTGAATGCCTTTGCTCATTGTCCCTATCGGTCCATTCTATATCTTTGTTAAGGTTTAGTTTGAGAAACCTCAATCTACATCGTACATACAACACATACACAATTATAAACAATATGAGAGGATGCCACATTAAGAACTTTATACTATTAGCACAATTGAATTCAAAGCAAATTTGCAATTGCTTTGATTGTGCATAAGGTCACACTTCGTACTATCTATTTATATAAACAAAAATTATCTATAGCAACCAAGGCAGTAAAGGTAAATAAACATAACAGGGTAACCAATGCTGTAGAAAATAGGGCAGTGATTGAAAAAAGTTCCAAATAATTTTACATCATATAAGTTTCTCCTGTGTGATCCTTGAAAACTCTATGTCAAATGTTTCAAAAGCATTATTTCGTCAGTGGCATTTCAAAGTATAATAACTTGTCCTGACAAAATGTTGGAGCAAATCAGACGACGAATAAACTAAAATAAAAAAAATTTTCACACGATATGAGTTTTTATGTGTAGCCTCAACGAATCTAATCTTGCAAAATCTTTCCCGCATAATTCACAAGCACTAAGTTTTTCTTCAGTATAGGTTCGTATGTGGGTTTGCAAATTACCTGACCATACAAAATCTTCCCCGCATATTTCACAAGCACAGGAGTTTTCTCCAGTATGAATTCAAATGTGTCTTTGCGAGCCACTTATAGTTGCAAAATCTTTTTCGCATATTTCACAAGAATGAGGTTTTTCTCCAGATTGAATTTACTAAATTATTAGTTGTTAGATTATTTATTTCCTACAACCTGGAAATCAGACAAAACATAAAATTTAAAATACACAATTTTCATGAAAAACACAAAGTTCATCGAACAGTAAAATCAAATCATGAATTTATTGAGTTGTAACACAGAGAAATAATGGTTTGACAAAGTTGTGCTGTGCCGTCAGTTACAAAAATATACAACAATCAACCTTTGGAAAACCGAAACAATGTATAGGCGTTTTGTGTAGACATATCTGCCTTAGAATGAAAACTTCACAGGTTCTTACATTGGAGACTGATTTCCCAGTAGATAGGATTGGATTTTCATATTTATCCTGTGGGGACTGGAAGCCGATGTGACAGCCTTATAATCATAATATGGTGACCAGTTCATGTTGGGTATGAAAATAGGTACAAGTTATTCGTTGCGGATACATGGCCACACTATGATGACCAAGATTTCAAAAATTGCCCTGCTCATATTTATTCACAACGAGAATATTTACTCTTGAAGCAAGATTATTAAGTTAATGGAAAACTAGTAATAGAAATTCTGTGTGTTTTTTATTGCTTCGAATTTCCAGTAGGTCACAAATGCTTATCTACTTTTATCTGCAAAATTCTCCATTTTCCGATTATCTCATAAGTGTAAAGGGTTTTCTTGTATTTGACCGCATTTCTCACCCATGGTTACTTATTCTTATTCATGAAGATTCCTTTGTGACATGAGTTTTTGCTTGTGGCTTCATATGGAAATTCTGAGTGTTACCAACCCCGGCAAAATCTTTTTTACATATTTCACAATCATGAGGTTTTTTTGCAAGCTCAAAGTTTTTAACTGATATGTGTTCGCATGTGGCTCTTCAAGTATTCCGACGTGCAAAATCTTTCTCACATATTTCACAAGCATAAGGCTTTTCTCCAGTATGGGATCGTATTTGGAATTTCAAATAACATGGCCTCGTCAATTTTCTGCCACATATTTCCCAAGTATGAGGTTTTTCCCCAGTATGTGTATGGTAGAAATCATTTCCAGGTGAAGTGTAGGAACGCAAGCTATGTTCGACAAATGAAGAAACATGACCAAAATGAGGAAACGCTTGAAGGCCATCAGCGTGAGCAGAATGTGAATACCGTCAACAGTACAAGAATTACTGCTCTGATGGAAGTCAATAATTATGATGTCAGATTTCAAATTGATAGGGCTGTTGATGTCAACACAATATGCGAGTAATACGTGCGGAAAGACGAAATCAGACCAAGTACTGACAATTTTGTGATGTGGAATAAAACGAAAATGAAGCCACTTGGTGAGACAATTTTAAAGGTAAAAAAATTCTCAAAATGATGAAGTCGCAGAGGTAAGATTTACTGTTGTCAAGAATAATTTCAACTGTCTTTTGGGCTTAATGACCATACAAGAAATGGGATTGATTACAATAAATAGAGTAATTCACAAGCTGTGATACAAATCCTACACAGAAGATAAAAATCGGAATAAAATTAATTTGTGTTGTGAATGCACTCCTTAATAGTTGTCTTTAACATCTTCGCCAAACTCACAATTCTGTCCGAAATATAAAAACCAAACTACGATATCCGCCGTTGAGTGAAAATTAATTTTGCTAGTGGATAAAAAAAAAGTTGTTCAAGTTAGTATAGTTAAAAAATATAGTTTAACAACATTAATTGGAGTGTCGGCCGCCGAAACGATCGCGGTGACAAAAAATTTATTGCAGCCTACGATTATGACAAAATTATGAAATAAAAAACGCCGCATTGTTACGGAGTTTTCAGTCTTCGAGTAAAATCAAAAAAAAAAAAATTTATTGTCACAGCGATCGTTTCGGCGGCCGACATCCCAATTGTTGTTGTGAGGAATATTCGAATACCTCGAATACAAAATACGATTTTGCCCGCCACTAATCATGGCGCATGTAAATAATCATTGAATGGCAATAAAAAATCAACCTCATTGACAATAAATTCCAAGTGATAGTTTCATATTTCACAAATTTGATCGGCGCTACATGCGAGCGTGTTTTTGTACGTATAAACCGTAATTACGCTAGTTATAAGTTCTCTCCAAAATCAGTTTTCGCAATTTTTAATGTTTTATTTCTAAATGCGGGTACCCGCAGACTACGGATTAATGGTCGATGTTTGAAATAGGACTTGCAAAATATTCACCAAACACCATCGGGCAAAGAGAGGCGTGCTACACGTAACTGTGGAATACCGCTGTGAAGGACGCATACTTTTCAGTTTATTAAACGCATTACGTCGTCGTGAATTGCACTTTTGGTGCCCTGTTTTAATTTCACCGTAACCCCCCGTTGAAAAATTTCTGGCTGCGCCCCTGAATATAATCTCCGTCGTTGCAATAACAACGGGATTACGTTAATATTTTACCACTGTGAATTATTCTGTCACCTTTAACAGGTTTCCACGCGGAATATAAGCTTCTCATTATTAGAACACAGATTGTATGTTTTTAACTTTTTTATTAAATTATGCCCGTCCTCCAGGTCCTCTGCATTTTGTTTTCCTTTTTTTTGTTTTTTTTTTCAGAATGACCAAATAAAATTGATTGATTGATGTATGTATTTGTTGCCCGCAAAATTGCATCACATGAATTTACTTCATTGTTTTTGTGAGTAATAGTTGTTTTGTGAGTAATTGTTGGCTATTAGGCATTTTTTATTGCATATTCAGTTTTACTGTATGTAACTTTACTGCTATATAGCGTCGCTCCATAGATAGGTTTTTGTATAAATGTATGAATTTGACTTGCTAGCCTACTTAATAGTATTATTTTCAAATTATCTGATTCTGTTATTGTTTATATGCAGGAGGTTGCAGGACTGAATTGAAGTCATGTGCAATTCCTAAATTAAAAATGCCTATCAAAATTGGAAACAACAAAACTCATGCAATTAGACCTCCACAAAAACGGAAATAACAAAGTACAATAGGCTACTGATATACCATAAAGAAATTGGAGATTTGAAAAAAAAGTGCGATGCAATATTTACCTCACCACTGGGATTTTGAAACTCAAAAACAATAGCATATTATTTTATTCTAAAACGGATTCCAGAACTGATATTCCTCCATTCACTGTTTGTTTTACCAAATCTCTTGCAATGTTTGCTACTGTGGCGTACCGTACTAGTATTGGTATCACCACTCAGGTTCTTTCTGCCAGCTTATCGGACACTGAAGTTGTACCGTAATAGATATTGATCACAAAATAATCTTCTTGCGGTTCCAAATACAGCAGAATATCTAAGTTATCTAATTAGATTAATTATACACCTGTAAGAACTTAATACAACCAAATACGCCAATAAGAAATACAATAAACAAATAAAAATACGGTACAAAAGACCATACAGATACATATGGAACACAAAATAGGAATTGGTCTATGACGTTACAGTCATAAACTATTGACCCATAATGGAATATACAAAAACCGGGCAAAACATACCGGTACCTAGAAATACATAGTATTAACTAGTATGACACTAAAGATATAGCACAAAGCCTATCTTATCGGCAAACACTTAATATACCCGGCAATTCGCATAGAAATACAGAAATCGCACAAGAAATACGGTAAACTGCGAAAGTAGGGGTGTGCAGGCGTGCAGCCAGTCTGCGGACGATTTCATTCAAACCGCTATAAAATAAAAACTAATATTTCTAACCCGGTAATTTTTTCACCGTAGGTGCATTTGCATTTATTCTATACGGTAAACCTCGAATTAACTACGACCTGGGGTTAAAACTATACAAACCACCAAAGGACGTATTCGCGACCGAAAGACCAGGGCGCGACCGCGGATTTCAAGCCTTGAACATCGCTTATGCTGCGTTGAGACTAGTGTCTCTTATGTTTTGTGTATATATATTTTTTTATAGACTGTTATGTTGACATTTATTTAATGCTGTTTTGTCGGATTTGGACTCCGACCACTCACTACATGTGAGGCAAAAACTGTCTTTCGGTCTCTCTTCTCCGGCTGCCGCGCTGGCGAGCGATCGTGTTTTCGGTTCCTTAGGATTCAGATTCAGATATTTTATTTCCGTCGTGCATGAAATATTGTAGCGACACAAGTAATAAGAAAAAAAAATGCTAACAAAATGATCAATTGAAATAGAAAGGCACACAATATTTCCGCAATTGACGCGGGGCCGCGAAAGACTACCAGAGTCATCGTGTCAGCGACACCGTGTTTGCTGAGTTCAACAGCAGATGACGTCAAATAAAATCAACTAATTATTCTTTAACAAAAATGGGAATACAATTTGGCAAAATAATATCGAGAGAGTCAAGAGATTACTGAATATAGTAACTAACTGTAGTAATTACTGATTATATAGTTAAAGTCAGTTTAGCTTATTAACGTAATGCTCAGATGAGCACAGAGAAAACAACATGACATTGCAAATTTCAGATAACAGAAGGGGAATTCCCAACAACTGCCAAAGGGAAAATATATTAGCAGTTCTGGGTACATCAATAATATTCGGGCGAGAGAGAAAACCATTTCGAAGTTATAGTAATAAAGAATAATTGATAATTATTAATACATAATGGAGGAAATTAATCATCAAATATGCTTTTGTTTTAGGTATAAGATTTATATATACCGGTACCGAGTTGCAGTGCTACAGCAAGAAATAACCGAATGCTCAGGATATTCAAAATTTTACATCAACGAATAGTGATATTGACAATGCCGTTCGCATTGCAGCATTGTTTTTATATTTTGGAAACAGTGCAAAAAGAAACAAATGAAGACAATATAGGTGTTTTGCAGTATTCATCTTTTCACAAATCTGAAGCAGATAGTCCAAACAAAGGCCAAATTACTGAGAGATATAAGCATCAAGGTAAAGATTTTTTAATGCTTGTTTAAATGGATAATAATTTTTAGAACGAATAGAGTCAGGAAGCGTATTCCATAGTTTCACACCCACAAATTTTATAGTGTTTTGTGTAAGATTAGAAGAATAACGGGTTACATAATAAGAGCTGTTGGTAGCGGATCGAGTTGCATATGAATGTATAGCACGTTGTTTAAAAAAATAATTAGTGAATGCAATAGGCAGTTCATTATTCTGATGCTGATGCATAAATTTTAGTACTTCAATTTTATAGATATCTGCCATTTTAATTATTTGCATTTTATGATAATGGGAGTCTAATTTTGATCGAGGTCCGGCATTAGTAAGTGGACGAATTGCCCTGTTTTGCATTATTTCAATGCGATGTAATGAAGTTTTGTTAGCTGATCCCCAAGCTACGATGCCATATTGAATATGGGACTGACACAAGGCATAATAAACTAAGCGTAATGTTGACATTGAAGCATACCGTCTAAGTCTATAAAGCATCCCTATAGACTTGGATAATTTAACAACAATGTTGGATATTTGAATATCCCATTGCATTTTACTGTCAAGGTGGATGCCTAAATATTTGTAAGAATTGACATTCTCAAGAACAGTGCCCCCAATTTCAAGTTTTAAAGTAACCTTGGTTTTTCGTTTTATTGGTGATATTAGCATGGTCTTTGATTTGTCAACATTAAGAGTTAGTTTGTTAAGTTTCATCCAATTAGCTACTTTATTTATTTCAGTGTTTACTCTCGATTGAAGAATATCAGAAGACTTGTCACTATCAAGAAGATTTGTGTCGTCAGCGAAGAGTTTGGAAAAAAGTGTGGTGCTTCGAGAAAGGTCATTGATGAAGATAAGAAACAAAGTCGGTCCTAAGCAAGATCCCTGTGGGACGCCGTGGGTCACAGGTAACGCCGGAGAACAATATTTACCCATTTGAACATATTGAGATCTATTCGTCAGGTAACTATCGAGGAGTTTATTTGCCACTTCTCGAATACCATAGTGCCATAGCTTGTGGATTAAAATTTTATGATTAACGGTATCAAAAGCTTTTTTGAGATCTAAGAATGTTGCGCTAACATATTCCTTCTTTTCCAGTTTATCATAGATATGGGATATTGTATCTAAAATTGCATGCGAAGTCGAATGTTTACTTTGAAAACCAAATTGAGATTTATTTATTACCTCATGCTTTATAAAGAAGTTCATTAGCCTTTTATGGATTAAACGCTCAAATATTTTATCAATAGAAGATAGAATGGATATAGGTCTATAGTTTGACAACTGTTTTTTATTGCCAGATTTAAAGATCGGAACCACTCTGGCTATCTTCAGTGAAGATGGGAATATACCAAATTGAAGGGAATTATTGAAAAACTCTGTTAGACATGGAGATATGATGTCCACAGCATACTTGAGGAAATGACAGGGAATGTTGTCTACCCCCACTGCCTTACCCGCCTTAAGACTCAAAATTTCAGTCGCCAATTCGATTACTGTAGCTGGACTCAGAAATATGGATTGATTTATTCGTTTGCCAAGATACATTTTAAAACCGACCATATCATTAGAGAATTTACCAGAGAGGCTGGACCCAACAGTTGAAAAGTACTTGTTGAATTCTTGTACTATGAAATGACTATCCCTAATGATGCAGCCGTTATCAAGATGAATTTCATCAACATTATGCCTCAATTTATTCTTTCTGGAGGTAATCTGATTAACGATTCGCCATGTAGACTTTGGGTTGCCTTTGTTTTGAGCGATCAGGTTTTGATAATACAATTGCTTTGCATTGTCAATTGTATGCGTCAGTAAGTTACGATACTTTTTAAAAAATGAGCATTGGGAACTATTGCCCTTCAGGTAGTGGGTTTTGAACATCTTAAGCCTGTAGCGAATACTAATAAGTATTCCTTTGGAAATCCATGGCTTGGGTTTTATTTTTTTTTCACGACGCGACAACGGTCTAAATGGCGCATGGCGGTGGATTAGAGCAGCAAAAGAATTTGTGAATTCTTCAAATAATGTTTCAAAATTTTGAGAATTCAAGTCCAACGCAGCAAAGTGATTATTAATTAGGTCGAGTGTATCTGACCGAAATGCATCAATGGAAAATGCAGACATATCCCTTATCATGACAAGCTCATTGTTGGTTGATGGTTTGATGCCATTAACACAGCATATTAAAGGAAAGTGATCAGTGATGTTGGATAATATAACATAAGGATCTAATTTTAGGTGAGTCATGTTGGTATATATATGATCTATGAGTGTCCTTGAGGTTCTGGTAACCCTTGTAGGCTTTGTAATAAGAGAAATAGTGTTGTGAGCAACAAGCATATTAATATAATTGGTGATTTGGGGACAAGGTCTTGTTGCAAGTAGATTTATGTTGAGATCTCCCACAATTATAAAATGTTTTTTTGTCAATTTGGTGAGGCAGTTTTCTAATATGTTTGTGAAAGCAGGAATATCGTTTCTTGGGTGTTTATATATAATGCCAATAGTCAACCTTTTGGATATGTTTTCCAAGTCTATATCGAGCCATATATCCTCACAGTTAATATAATTTAAATGATATTCAGTAGACTTTGTAAATTTGATATCATTTCTGATGAAAGCACCCACTCCGCCTGCCTTGTATATTTTGTTGTGTTGTCTGTTTGTGTTGTTTTAAGTTTGATATTGGAATTGCCGTACAATAAACAACCAATCCGGAACCTTTGAGTCTTCTGATTCATTCTACAACCACGGTAACAACATCTTGGTCCGTGACAATGGCGAGCACGCAGCGGATTTGGACAGTTTTGTTGACGGCAATTTCGAATAACAGAAAAGGAAGCGACTTTCAACACAGAGAAATTGTGTGCCGGAAACACTGTGACAATGGCCATTTATGGATAAGAACAGCGCAAGGTCGGATCGAAATAGTGTAATTGGCTGACAAGAACTGCAAGAATATTTCATGGACTGTTTTGTTCATGTGAGCTCGATATGGCGGGCGGAAATTGGAGTATTTGGTTGTATTAAGTTTGCAGATGTTATTGTAATCTTTGATTAGACTGAAAGTACGATAGCCTACTACCTTCTGTACTATTATTGTACGTGGATCTTACTGGATATACTATCTGCATACCTACCTAATTTTACCTTGCAATCAATCACACTACTGCACTAACGTTACTTCAAGATGAACAAGGAAGTCCAAACCCAGATTCTGGCAGCTATCTCATCTCTTCAGGCCAAGCAAGAAGAGCTAATGTCACATGCAACTCTATTATCTGCCTCTAAAGACCATGGCAACCAGTCCCAGGATATCATTAAGTTCCAGAATGACGTGGCTCAAATCTCCTCCAAGATCCAGGAGATTATTAGCAGGCTGGAGACTTGTGAAAAGCAACAGGACGATTTAGAACAATACAGCCGAAGAAACTGTGTGATTCTCCATGGCTGTAGTTCTGTGCCAGAAACTGAATACCATAAGTTCGAAGACTTCGTAGTGAAAACTCTCAACGACAGCCTTAAACCCAACCATCCTATTGTGAACACTGACATTGATATTACTCACAAATTAAAATCAAGATCTCCGAAGAACCCCATCATCATCAAATTCGTCAGAAGATCAACGAAGAATATGGTGTATGGTAGAAAAAAAGAACTCAAAGGCAGCGGATTGTCCATCGCTGAGTCCTTGACCCGTAGCAGGCTCAAGCTACTCAGCGCTGCCAAGGAAGCCTTCGGAAAACAAAAAGTGAGCACAATGAATGGGATTATCTACGCTTACCTAGATAAAAGGCGAGTAATATCTTCCTTAAATGATATCACTACTCTCTCTCGTCCCCTCTACTCCAAGGCTGCTGCCCGTTCAGTGGGACCAACCTCAAGACGTAGCGGTAGCCTATGAGCAGCGGGGAACGATTAACTCATTCCTAATCTCCATTTTTCTTATTTAAATAGGCTAGTGCTGTCTAATCAATGGTTCTCCATCTTTCAAACATCTGGAAACCTATATAGCCAGACTAGATATTTGACTTATTTATTCATTTTTATTTTTACTTTTATTTTGTTGTGCCACTGCCATGAAAACTAATTTAAAATACCCATGTAGAAATTGCCACAAATCAGTTCGAATCAATCAAAAAGGTCTTTATTGTGACATTTGTTCTTCTTGGATACATTTAAAATGTACCAATATTTCTGGACAACAATATGAAAACCTTGAATCTGAAGCTGATGAAATACCTTGGTGCTGTTTCCTTTGTGAAATAGACTGTATGCCATTCTCTTGTCTCTCTGATTCTGAAATATCTGAGTTATTTGTTCCCCTTCATACAGAAAAAGCTGAAGCCCAGGCACTTGCCAAAATTCTTGATCCTGAATACCTAAACAAACTGTTTCTTGAATCAGCCAATACTGATACTGATGAATTCAACAACATTGATAGTGTTTTCTTGTACAATTGCTCAAATCAATATATCTGCTCCAGTGATGTCAATGCCCTTAAATTCAACGACAGCCTTAAACTAAGTGGTTTCATGACTCTCTCCATCAATATCAGATCTTTAGCCTCTTTCAAAAACTTCACAAAATTTGAAGCACTAGTTAATTCACTGAATTGTAAGCCTCATGTAATTGCTGTAAATGAAACATGGATTGTATCTGGTACAAATGGCCATTTCAATGCACTGGATGGCTATGTTTTTATCTCTAATAGTAGATCTCATCACCGAGGTGGTGGTGTTGGTCTCTACATTCGAAATGATTTGAAATACATTGTCCGCAAAGATATTACTATAATGTGCGAAAAGGTTTTTGAATCTATATTCATTGACATATCATTGGAAAATAAAACAATAACTTGCGGTACTATTTATAGATCACCACTAACTGATGAATTGAACAATGCTAACTTTCGGAATCTCTTGTCCCAAGTTCTCTCAAAGATGAACAGGTTGAATTATAATTATATAATGGGTGACTTCAATTATAATCTTATTGATGAGTCCAATATGAATACCAGCCTATTTGTCGATATTATGCACAACATGGCCTATTATTCTTTGATAAACTGCCCCACCAGGATAACTTCAAGTTCTGCTACCTGTATAGACCACATCTGGACAAACGTATATGATAAAAAAATTAACAGTGCTGTTTTAGCAGAATGTGTTTCTGATCATCTGCCGATTGTACAATGCTCTCTTCTAGAAAAGCAAATTCAGACCAGAATTGAAACGCTTTATCGCCAGTTTACTTCGTCCAACTTGAATACTTTTATGAATGAACTGAATTCTATTGATATTGATGACTTCAGCAGCATCGAGGATCCCAACACTTGCTTTGAAATTTTTTTTGAAAAATTCTCCACTGCTTACTCTCAATCTTTTCCTTACAAAAAACAGACAAACAGATCAAACAAACCTTGGTATGATACTGAGTTACGCAAACTCAACAAAGTCAAACAAAAACTTTATAAGAAATTAATAAACAATAAAAACATAAATTACAAGCACAAATTACAGTTCAATGAATGCAGGAACCTTTATACTCGATTGCTCCACAAAAAAAAATCAAATTATTACAAATCTAAATTTGCTTCACACAAAGGCAACATCAAGGCAGTGTGGAAAACAATTAATGAACTTATTGGTAAAAATAAAACAAATTCTTGTCCTTTGATTGGATTTGATTGCAGTAATACACAAACTGCAAATAAATTTAATGAACACTTTTCCCAAGTGGCACAAAGCCTGCTTGACTGTATGCCACAACCAGCTGGCTGTGACAAAAATTACATTTCATATCTTGGGAAGCAAGAATCCTCATCCATGTTCTTAAGGCCAGCTACATCATTAGAAATAAAAAATATTATACGCGATATGAAGCCCAAGTCAAGTTTTGGAATCGATGGTATTCCATTTAAAATATTGAAATATGTTCCAGAACATATTATTGATATCCTGACATATATATTTAATCTTTCACTATCTAGTGGATTATTCATTGAAAGCTTCAAGACATCCAAAGTTCTTCCTCTCTTTAAAAAGGGTAGTGTTTCAGATCTTGGAAACTATAGACCTATTAGTCTTTTACCATCATTTTCTAAGATTCTTGAAAAAATAATGTATAGTAGAATGTCAAACTACTTTGAAACTAACAATGTTTTCCACTCGCATCAATTTGGTTTCCGCAAGCATCACTCCACTGCTATGGCTGCTAATGTTTTGGTACACAAACTGACCAATGCGTTTGAATACAAACAACATGCAATTGGAATATTTCTTGATATCTCAAAAGCTTTTGACACCATTGACCATTCCATCCTCTTAAGTAAGCTCTATCACTATGGAATTAGAGGCGTTCCATTCAATTGGATCAAGAGCTACCTTCAAGACAGGAAGCAAATTGTGCAATATGACAACTCATTCTCTACAAATATTTGTGTCATGAAGCACGGAGTTCCACAAGGATCTTTACTTGGCCCATTATTTTTTCTAGCTTACATTAATGACATGTCCAGGTGTCTGAAATCCTCTGAGTCGATCATGTTTGCTGATGACACTAACTTGATTCTTCATGGGGAAAACCTTGAAGATCTATTCACAGTTGCAAACCAAGAACTAACCAACATTTGTAGCTGGATGTTAGTTAATAAATTATCTCTGAATGCTAACAAAACTAAATTTGTATTATTCCATCCAAGCAAGCATAAAAGTGTGAGTTGTTCAAAAAAACTACTGCTCAATGGCAATGAAATTGAAAGAGTGAAAGAAATAAAATTTCTAGGAGTTATCTTTGATGAAAATCTGTCATGGAAATCACAAATAATGCATGTTATTGGTAAAACAAAAAGAAACCTAGCAGTTTCTGCCAAAGTATCCCAGTGTGTTGATCAATCAGCTCTACTAGCAATGTTTCAATCATTACTACTTAGCCATATT